ACATGAATCCCAAGTGTTTTTACACAAACTTCAAGTATTTCTGCACAAATCCCAAATGCCTTTGCACAGATTTAAGTCTCTAAACACAAGTTCCAAGTATTTTAAACATAAATAACAAATAATATAAACAATATCCCAAGTTGCCTCTGCATAGTTTCTACTATCTCAAATACAATATTATTTAATATTATTTGAACCTCCATTGTTCCAAGTACAATAATATCTAATGTTGCTCAAACCTCTATTATTCTGAATACAGTATTAAGTAATATTGCTTGAATCTTCACTATTTCTGTTAGATAAAAAGATATATAAAAGGTAGTTTTCACTCTTTCTTGCTAATTCTAAGTTTTTATACTTCAACCTAGACCTTTCTATCTTTATTTTAACTTGTAAAAGTAATATTCCTTTTCTAAAATAAATCTTATAAGCAAGGTTGTTACTATGTGTTTATTTAATAAAAGTTAATCTATATACTGTTACTATCTTGAACTATTTATCTGCTACTGTATAGTAAAGTAAACTACTATATCTCTACCTCATATATATTTGTAATAGTCAATTATTGTATTAAGTAACTTTGTTACTTGGTTATATTGTACCAAGAAGGCTACAACTCTGTAATAATATAAAATTTTAAGACAAACAATTTTGGTTAAAATATCAAAGTTTGTTTATATAATAAAATTTTAAGATATTAGTAATTTTATATAAATGAAATTTAAATTTTGTATAAATAATTAATAAGTTAATTTAATATCTTATTAACTAAGTTTTATATAAGTTTTTAAAAAATGTTCAATATAAATAAATAATTAGGTAGGGTGTGATGACCTAGTAAAGTAGATAGGTTGTCAACCCTCAAGTGGCAAGTCTAAGGTTCAATTTCTATAGATAATGAATTTTGGAAATTATATTTGTATTATAGTAACTGTCTCTTATTAATCAGTTGGGTTTTGGGCATCTGTAATCTTAAGTATACCAAGTCAGATCCCACTTGACATTGGAATCTTGAGGCATCTATATGAAAGGTAATGTTATATATATATAGAGGAATATGAAAAACTGATATTATATAAGACTTTGATGCAAACCTGTGATAAGACCACTGGGCATAGAAGACTAAGAAACCACAGAGATAAAAACTTATTTGGAAATCCTAAATAAAGAGATAGTACAAACTTTTAATAATGCTATTGAACTGATAAAAGCCTATAAAACATCTTTATAAGAACTGTCAGATAAACCAGATGATATGATATATAAAGAAGCATATAACTAACTAAACTGTTAGAATCATTGGAGAAAAAGAATACATAAGTATACTATATTGGATCATCTGAATTGAAAGTCTGGGAAATCAGTTAGTTCTGAATTATAACTAGTTGAAGATAATAGAGAAGAAGTCAAAAAAATAGGTATCAGAGTTTGAGTAAACTTTACAAGAATAATAACAGTTTAAGAGATAACCCTAACTGCAAATGTTGGTCTCAACTATAATGTTAAATCAGATTAGTAGTAAAAGAGAATATGGCTCACTCTGATAAATTTATCTTAAGAATAAAAATAGTCTAAGAATTATAGTTCAATGATTAAAAATGAATAAATCTGAGTCTGTAATTTGGTGAAATTAATATCAAGATCAGATCAGAGGGTTTAAATAAAACATCTATACAAAGATGTTAGGTATAACAATTAGTAAAAAATCTTTAAGCTGACTCCTTAAATAGGTAATATAAAAAAGTTATATGCATAGCCAATTATATACTTGTCTGATAGTTCATTATAGATATGTCTATATAAAATATATATCTAATATAAATATTAATAAAAAGTTATGACCAAAGAAGTTACCTTAATACTGAAAAAAAAATAAAAAATAAATAATTAGGTGACTAAATAAATAAATAACCAAGTAACTAAATAACTAAATAACTAGATGACTAAACAACTAATATTATAAGCTTAAAACATTAAATATTTAAAGTATTAAAATAATTATAACTAATTAATAATACAATAATAGAAATAATAATATACTTAGATAATAATAGTAATATAATAGAATATGGGTCCCATAGCTTAGCAGTTAAGCTCCTATATCTTCCACAATCAAGGTCAATAGTTCAAGTCTGACTGAAGATAAAATTGAAAGATTTTAGTTTTTATAACCTAATAAGAAATCTGTAATTGAATGCAAAACCCTGTGATTAAGTCCAAGTGTAATACAATAATAGAAATAGGAATTTTCAAAAGAAGATCCAATCATTGAATGCAGACACTATATGTAACAAGTAGTTGTTACAGAAAGTTATAGTTATAGAAAAATTGTACATGTAAGTTCTTTAGGCTAGGATAACACCAACATCCTTATACTTTCTAATATAGACAGCACTAATATCTTTGTATCTAACTTGTGAGATATTTGCTTAGAAGAATAATCAACAGATTATGCAAATAAGGATTCAAGGAGAGGATTTGATTGGGAGAGTATTCTGAAAGTAATTAAGACTAAAATGATGAAAGAAGCAGTGAATATGAGAATGGACTATGATAAAGAATTGGTCTAACTATAAATTGGAAGCATCACTGATACAGCTGAATAATCTAATTATAGAAGAGAAAAATCTTGGAAGTTGATATATAACTTCCTTGTATAATGTAAAAGTACCAAATTAGGTTCCTGATCATACCTATATAGAAGTCTTTAACAAACAAGACTGAGATCAATCAACCAATATGAGATAAGATCTGCAAGATAGTATGACATTACTAGGATCAGTATAACTCCCTAAGACATAACCAGAATTGTCCTGTAAGTATTATTAAATAAACTGGAAACTTGTAATATATGGTAGTATGGTATCACTGAGGTCGGAGGAACTTTCTAGGTATTAATCAGAATTATTCTGTTTATAAATACAATAAGTTTTAGTTCCTATCATAGAAGAGAAAACCATGTTGGAGATTAAATGCAACATCAAGTTACTGTATAATGTTAAAACCTGAGACATCTGTAGGAATGATGACAACAGACCTGACTTAAGATACAGATTGGTCAAAAAAACTAATAATAATAACAGATCTGGCTTGAGATATGGGTTTTTTGCAGATCCTAGACTATTATCAGAACATCTTAGGAAAATTAATAACAGATATACCAAAGATGAGAAGATCATAAGGATTAAACATATCTGAGTAGGACCAATTTGGAAATGATACAGTAACAAAAAGATGAGAAATGTGAAAAACAAGATAATACTAGATATAACTAGATTAAGAGATAGAAGAAACAAGACCAGGTAAAACATGTGAGTAGAACATATAGGTATGATTTACAAAAGACAGTACTCTTGATATTTGAGATACTGTATTAAGTTTAATAGGTATCCTTGTCTGTGTAGTGGTTTAATGATATACTCTGACCACAAGTGGTTGTTAAGATAACTGCGTGCAGGCATGTGGTAGACATGCACTTAGGTGCCATATAGGTAACTGGGTAAAATCAGTGATGTAAAATTAGATAGTATATAGTACTAGTAATAATCGATCCTAAAAATGTAACCGTAAATTTGTACTATATCAAATTAAAGCTAATAAACCAACTGGCATTGTCGTCAAAGTTTAAAAAAAAAAAAAAATAGTAATATAACAATAATAAAAATCTATTCTATAATAATATCTTAAGGTTTTATATATTTGTTTTATTGTACAAACATGTCAATTGCATTCGATTTTAATTACAATACAAAGGAATTTTGACACAAATTTTACTAATAATTTTCATTGAATTGTTCGCGAATCACGAATTAATTAACTTTTTATTAGCAAACCTATTCTTTTCAATTTATAAAGTCCATTCATTTTATTCAAAAAAAACCTACTTTTTTGATACTATTCAACCCTTCTAATCCAATAAAATAGTATGGTTTTTTTTGTTATAAACTTTTATAACTTCCAAGTAGCTTCGAATAACAATTTATAGAGTTAAAACTGAATAGAAATCATTATACTTGTATGTAATACGATTCTACCATAAAATCCAGACATCTTCACCTTAACACCAAAAAAAAAAAAAATCCAGACATCTAAAATCTCGAAAACCATAATCCCAACATCACGCGGAGTAATAATTAATATTTAAAGATTAGTAATCATTGTCAGGCTTTAAATTTTAATTGTCGCATTGCGTGATGTCAGGATTATGGATTTCGAGATTTTGAATATCGGGATTTTTTGGTAGAACCATGTAACACGTATATTAGCCATTTACCAAAAAACGGATAAAGATTTTTTTTTTTGAAAAAACTCAGCCAATGATGTTAAAAGCCTTTTTTTTAAGCCGATGACTACGTATTTACAAATTTTTAATCACTGCAGTTCAAGTTATTAAAATTTCCTTTTATGTGAATATAGATATCAAATATCGATGTGGATTGTAAAAGGCGTCAATTATACAAATCCATTTAACGTTAAACACGAAAACCAAGATCTAAAAAAGCTGCAAAAAGGTAAAAATCGGATCGTGCGGAACACAAATTGTAACTTAGCACTCCCATCAGCTATGCAACGCAGATCTTGTCCTGCATTTTTTGATAAATCAATTCTGCACAGATGAACCGTTCTAACCTTAGTGTTGAGAATCTGGACAACATCAAGATTGGAACCAGACTGGATCTTACAAACTAGATCAGACTGACTTTAACTTCCTTAGTCGAAATTCTATCAGCACCAACCAATAAACGATTAATTTTTCTCTTAAAATCATGGGCTTGAGATTTTATTGGCCAAATTACACCAAATCACATGAATAAATTCTGGTGGGGTAACTAAAAATCTTTGGGGGTAATACTTACTACTTTTGGGTAATATAGACACGTTGATTGGGATAAATACAATAGTACGTATTTTTTCACATGTTATTTTTTTCCTATAAAACCAAATCAGATCATGAAACTGTCTTCACTGCGCGTCATATCAAATATTACAAAGTTGGTGTGATGCTTTCTCAACGAAAAATATATCCAGATTCAAAAGGTTCGGATGAAACGAATGAAGCAACGTCTCTTATATCTGGTATTTTTAAAAACGATAAATGCGGTTCAGATAATTTGAAAAAAAATTCTTTACTTTGTAATTTTGGAGATTTGCCTCTTTGGCTTCAAGATAATTGTGATATTCTTAGAGGTATGAGTGAAATAGATTTTGTTTTTTTATTTAATAAATTTTCTCATTTTTTTTCTACCATTTATTAGGATATCGAAGACCAACATTTTCTTATCTAAAATGTGCTGAATCACTGTTTTATGTTCATAATGAAAGTGGTTTGTAAAAGAGAATTTTCAACGACCTTTTTCGAAAATCTATGAGATCAACTAAACATTTAATGTTTACTTTAGTTAATATTTGGTCCCATCTGGTTGGAGCAATATCCTTTATTTTCCTGGCATTTGCAACTTATTATTACGTATTATCGTATCTCCCTTCGATTATTTGGTGGGATTTTATCGTTTTTTACATATTTTTGCTCGGTGCTATGATTTGTTTGGGACTTTCTTCTACTTTTCATACATTTTGCTGTCACTCAGAAAAAGTAAATTTAAATATTGGCTTAAATTTATGAAACAATTCTGTAATCAAACATAAACTTTTTTTTTTTTTTTTTTGACTGCGTTTTAGGTTTGCGCGAACTGGAGTAGATGTGACTACATTGGAATCGTGACTTTAATTGTGTATATGCTCTTTTTTTTTTTATGGTTATTTTGATCATCATTTTTCATAATTAAAGTAATTATATTTTATTATAGAGGGTCCTTTTATCCAATGATATATTATGGTACCTACGAATTTTATACACGTAACGTATATTAGTTTAATACATAGCATTAGAATTAACTTTAATTTTCTACACATTTTAGGTTTTTATTGCCATAATAAATTAAAAATCTTTTATTTGGCGTTAATAACTTTGTTTGGATGTACTACGGTAACTGCAATTATTACATAATGCATTTTAAATATTGAAATCGTCTTAAATTTACAAATCTTGAATACTAGATATGCGTAGCGGTTGCAAACAAGTTTAGAACTCCAGAATTTAGATGGTTTCGTACTGGACTATTTATATCTATGGGATTAAGTGCTATTATACCTTTAGCACATGCTTTAATTATTTATGGGGTAATTAGGTTATTATTAATTGTAGGATTTTTAGGATTTCTAATTTTATATTTTGAAGCATTAACAATTACAACTTTTTAGATTGAACTATGTGTTAATGTAATCTCTCTTAAGTGGTTGGTAGTGATGGGAGCGTTTTATATTACTGGTGCATTGATTTACGGTGCAAGGTATGTATTCAATTTGTACTTTCTTAAAAAATTGCTTTAAATACCATCTAATTTTTTTTCTATAGAATACCTGAAAGATGGTTTCCCGGAAAATTTGATATTTATGTAAGCAATGTCATTATTTGGTTATATTATACTCAGTGTTGTACATTTGATAAATTGGACATTTGAATACCTTTGAATGGATGTCCAATGTTAATCAAAATCTTTAGTTCTTGGACATCCAATGTCCAGTCAAAATTATTGGACCATTTGACATGACAACACTGATTGTACTTATTGCATAATTAAGTTGTCGAATTTTTATTTTTTTGCAGGGCTCATCACATCAAATATTCCATTTTTTTGTTGTGGCAGCAGCATATGTACATTATTTTGGTGTTATACAAGCAATGATATATTGGCATGAAAAAAATCATAATTGCGAACTAGATGTTACAATGTGACACTTAGTTTATATATTGAAAATTGTCAGATTATAAATATACGACAACGTCGTCTTAATGTGATTCATTATAAAGGTATAAAAAAGTCTGGTTAAACTAGTTGATTCGAGCGACAGACTAAAGTGGACATATATTTAGTTAGAATATTTGCATAATTTTAATAACCTAATCACTTTAATACTATTTAAGTTGTTAGGAAAGGTTTTACTTTTGTGTAGAATTTTTTTTTACTACAGTGGTTTCACATAAAGTCATTAACGTTTTAGAAAGATGCTGAAGTTTTACTATGGATTGTTAGAATACTACAAATTTTTTAAAGTATAACTAAGGATTCTACATACATACATATACGTATTGAATTTGCCGACCAGTTATGATGCTAACTCTATGTTCATGCGTAAACTTATTATCTGCCCTTACACATTTGAAGTTGGGTGATTTTTATTCTATTCAATTCCTACTGAAATGAGTTTAATAGAGCAAACCTTGTTTATTTCTAGTCAATAAACGCAGAGGCATTTTTATCTGAAATTACAAGATGTTGATATGGTGATAAGTCTAGTAATTATATTTTTATATTTGATTTTATCAATGTACTGTAATTAGATAGTATCCCTTAAACATTTATTTTAGCAGACAAAATTTGTCCACTAAAATTGGTAAAAAAAAAATATATATATTTTTTGGTGCGAATAAAAAAAAGCTCGGATTACATGATGGGTTGTTGGACCTGCTTGCCTTTATAGGTCATACCTCATTCAGTTTTTCTAAATTATGAGTAGGTTTTCTCAAAATTAAATTAAATCAAATTTATTTTGATTTGAATTTTTAAAAATTTAAAATATTAATCATTGAAGAAAAATCGTAATTTATGAAAATTTTTATTAAGTTAATTAATCATCTTAGAGTTCTTAAATAAAAATGTTTCAATTAAAATACTCTTAGTTTCATAAAACAAAAAATTAATTGTTTTAATAAAATTTTAGTTAAAAATAACTTATCCCTTAAACTGTAGACTATTTCCAGGCAAATTTGCCTGGAAAATTAACAAAAATATACTTATGATCTATATTT